GCATGTCACTTAATTTTTGTGCCTCACTCTTGTCACCTGTAAAGTGGGGAGAATACTGACCTGCCTCACTGCAGTACTGTGAGTCTTAAATCTGAAACAGAGAAATTGACAAACTGGGTCAGCCCAGGGTCCATCTAGCTCAGTAGATTGTCTCCGACAGCAGCCAGTTCCAGCTGCATCCAAAGAAAGTGCAATAGACAGTTATGGGATACAAAACTGCCCCCTGGGAAAGTTGCTTTCTGGTGCCCGATAATCAGAAGCTGGCTTAGGTCCTGAGGCAGCAGGGGTTAACTTTTCCAAAACTCTTGGATTTTTAAAAAATCTTTTCTGTTATACTATTACATGCTTTCAGATCTTCGGTGTGGTGTATTGAAAATGGTATTGAAATTGCGAGCTGTCACTTTAAATGCACGGGGGGGGCGCTTCTTGCTCCTGCTTGCAGGCTAGGGGACTCTCTAGAGAAGCTTGCAATCCAGACTTCACAACCGTGAGACTAGAGTAAGGTGGGGCAAGTTGTGCCTCTCTGTTTTGGGGAGTAGCCTGTTTTCTCTCTCTCTGTTTTGGGGAGTAGCCTGTTTTCTCTCTCTCTGTTTTAGGGTTATTGTGTGTTCTGGCTCTGATTTCTAAGAAATAAATCCTGTTATGCTGCAACCTTTCAGCAAGAGTATTTTTATGTTGTTGACTTCTCTCTTTGTATACCATGAACATAACATTCAGATAAAGGCACTTTATATATTGAAGTATTATCAGAAGTAGTACTGTCGTCTTGACACTCGCTAGGCCATGTTTTAATATTTTATTTGGGCTCCTGGATTTCCTGGCCACCACCTACTGAAGACATCAACAGCATCACCTGGGTGAAAACATTTCCTAATTCCAGTAACATTTGGTTCTGGTTTCGATGTAAGGAGACACTATACAGGGAGAGAAAGCAGGAGGAGATTTCAAGTTTCCTACTGTCATAGGCCATAGAGATAACACACACTAAAGGTTTCCCTTTCTGTATTGCTCTTGCTCCTTCACCTATCTTGGCATCAGAGGTGCTGTCAGTGTGGGGAAGAGCCTGTTACCTCTCCACTGCTAGGCTATGCACTTCCTCTAGAATCAGTGAATAACAAAAAATATTTGGTATCTCTATAGCTTTGTTTATCCCTTTACAAACATTCAGTGGAGTCACTCGGGATTAATAATGGTGTAAATGAGACTAGTGCTTGTCCCTTAGTAATTCATTCTGTCAACACCCCCCTAACTTAGGTCTGATCCGTGTTTTACAGATAGGCAAACGGAAGCGCGGAGAGAAAGTGACTGGCCCAAGTCAGCATCAGAGCCATGAGTAGAACCCCAGTGTACTGCCAGCCTAGTCCTTCGCTCTCGCCAGAAAACTCTGCTGTTTAGAAAAGGAGGTGGGCTCTAGAAACACGCTTTGTTCCGTTTCTGACTCAGACTCCAGGTAGATCGAATCTGCTGCTCGCCGAACAAAAACTTCAAATCGCTCTTGAAATACGGTGTGGGGTCATGTCGCTGCTTATGTTCTGCTGAGAGCTGCTCGAATGCTGTGGGAAGTGGGCCCCAACCCCAATTTCAGCATCACAGAGCCCTAGACTGCAAAGCAATTTGGATCTGGCTCTGAACAGCACAGATCTAGCCCCTCTTCACTTAAATAGACACAGGCAAAAGGGAACAGAATTGTATACACCCATCCAGCTCCCCCCCCCCCATAGCTACATGTGCATTAGTGCTCCTATGCTTGTAATTTGATCCAATACAAATGTTTCAAAGCTCGCTTGGCAAATCTGTGCAGCCAGTGGAGCACCCATAAAGTTCTTGCAGGGAAGCCCTGCCTTTTCACACATGCGTATACAGCCCCTAGCGCAATGAGGCCGTGATCTTGACTGAAGCTCTTGGGAACATCTAAGTGATTCAGCAACAACAGAGGGAGTATTGGTGAGGAAGTCAGTTTGATTTGCAAGCACTCTGAAGGTTTCTCCTCTTAAATCAGAGCAAGGGACATCACGATTGGTCTGAGGCGTGAAAGAAATATTTTGAGGCTGGCAGGAGAGAGGCAAAGCCTGTGCAGTTTAAAAAGCTTCTCCAAGCCTAAGCTCAGTGCATTATGGGAGAGGATTTCATGAAGCTAGAGCGGAATGACCATCAACTAGGTGAGGCTAACCCGGCTATAGCCAGCTGTTGTCTCTTCTCTTATAGTTAGATTATCAGTTTGAGGTAGGGACTCGCCTTGTTCTGTTTGTACAGCACTAGCAGCACAATGGGGTCCTGGCTAGGTACCACTATCACTAAACAATTGACTACTCCAAACCAAACCTCCTTTTTCCCCCCCAACCCCAACCCCAGAGCTAGTCAAACCCAGAGCCACCCAAAATTCCCTCTTATAGTCCTTCCTTAATGGCCTAATTCCCTGCAGCTGAGTCCACCTGCATTGAAAGCAGGCACCTGGGTGAGCCATTCTGCTCCAGCAGAGAGAGGTAACCACCTCTCTACCAGGCAGCGGGTGGAGGCTATAAAGGCTTTGCCACTAAAGGATTTTAAGGGCTGATGGCCCAGCCCTGCAAACACTTGCATCCCTAAGAGGGGATACTCCTGGGCTAGGTGTTTGTGTGCGCAGGCTCTTCGGGGGGGAGCGGCTGGCACAGTTGTATTGGCCAAGCATGCTTGGCAGAGGGTGTTCGGAGCCTCTTATCTGCAGCTAATCTCCCCAGAGAGTATCGCAGCTTCAGCAAAACCACCCATGTCTCTCACGTAGGAATGAGAAGCGTTCTGGTTAATTAACAGCCCAGGGGGATGGAGCCATTCTAACCTGCAGCTAGCAAGGGAAGTGTCATTGTCAGGGACCTGATCCAACTCCCACTGGAGTCTATGGGAGTCTTTCCGGTCACCCGGAGGGGAGCTGGATCCAGCCTTAGGAATATTCACATTAGCAACAAGGGAACCAGTTTGGTGTGGTGCAGGGGATAGGGCACTGGACCGGGGCTGAGGAGACCCCATGGCTCTGCTACTGGCTGGCCTTGAACAAGCCATCTGTGCCTCAGTTTCCCCATCTGTAAAATTAGGGTAATGCTATTTAACTCTTTTGTAATGCACTTTAAGATCTATAGCTTTTTCATCTAAGTATTATCGCTCAATAAAACCCCATCTCCCTTCCCCACCTCAGAACCTTCTCTCCGCCAGGTTTCCAGCCAAACAGGCCCTGACGTCTCTTGAGTTTTAAAAAGTTTTGTTACCTTACTTTATTATTCTCTTTCCCTCATCTCTGCACAAGCAATTTCTGGCCCATTCTAGAGTGCAGAGAGCTGCGACAATCAGAACAGAAATAACAGTGAGGTCCATTGTCCTTAAATGCTGGAAAACCCACTGAACTGATGATATGCATCAATATATTATTTCAATATTTTCCCTGTGGAGGGTGGGTCAGGCTGATGGCAACTGCTAGGTGCTGTCCACAACATCGCAAGATGCAGTCCCTGCCCCACAGAGCTTACAGTCTGAATAGACAAGACAGACAAACAGTGGGAGAAAGAATTGAGTGTTATCCCTATTTTATAGATGGGGAACGGAGGCCCAGATCCTCAAAGGTATGTTGAGGGGTTGCAAGCCGGAAGAGGGATATGATAACCGTTTTCAAGTACATAAAAGGTTGTTACAAGGAGGAGGGAGAAAAAATGTCCTCCTTAACCTCTGAGGATAGGAAACAAGAAGCAATGGGCTTCAATTGCAGCAAGGGCGGTTTAGGTTGGACATTAGGAAAAACTTCCTGTCAGAGGAGTTAAGCACTGGAATAAATTGCCTAGGGAGGTTGTGGACTCTCCATCATTGGAGATTTTTAAGAGCAGGTTAGACAAACACCTGTCAGGGATGGTCTAGGTAATACTTACTCCTGCCATGAGTGCAGTGGACTGGACTAGATGACCTCTCGAGATCCCATCCAGTCCTATGGGTTTATGATTTAGGTGCCTAACTCCCACTGGAAGACCTTTGAGGATCTGGGCCTAGTGACTTGACCAAGGTTCCACAAGGATTCTGGGGCAGAGCCAGGAATTGCACCTTGATTTCCTGTGTCTCGATTCAGCACCTTAGCCACAGAAACCATCCTGCTCTCTCTCTTCCATAAATGCTCTGCCTTAGATAGATCGCAATCCTATATTCCTTGCTCACTCAGAACTCCTGCTGAGGCTGGGCTGGGCCTGTAGGCTAGCCAGGAATGTGTGAGAGACACCAGGATGGAAGATCTGATCCTAGCCTTCCTGTGGCAATCCCGGGCTGGCCCTGCCTTCTGCATGTTGCTGGGAATGTCGTCATTTTTCACACCACATGAGGTTCTTTCCTGTTCACAAAATTCTTTTGGGTATCTATGAAGACGCTTTGTGCCTTGCAACTCATTGGGTGCCACCATGACATTAAAGAATAATTCTCTTTATTGTACCAGGAAAATATGTTCACAGGAGGAGATTTCGGATTGGGCAAATTCAACCCAATTGGCTTCTTTGTTCATAAAGAGACATAAAAAGGAAAAGGTGATACCTCACCCCCAAACGGATGCCCAGCTTTGGCGATCAATAAATAACTAGCTCTTGAGGGAATGTGTGTAGAATATTTGAGCTGATTCGGCTATAAAAAAGGCTGTTACACTGCACAGTGATTAACAGAAATGCTATTACGCCAGGACGCAGAAGAAGAGATGTCAGAGGTGACGTTATTTTAGACAAAGAGAAGAAAGGGGCTTCTGTACACGCAGGGCAGCATTGCAATCTTACAGCCTAGCCTGGAGCGGATTGTGATTCTGGGAATAACAGGCTGGTTCCGGCTTCCCTCTTGCTTCATTTGGCAGGGGGGGGATGGAGAGAAATCTGAACCAGACCTTTATTCCCCCTCTGCATTGTTTCAGGTCCTGAGCCATTGGATAGGATGGCCTCTCCCACTCCCTGCACCCCGCCTAGGTTTGGGTGATGCTGGGAGCAATTTTCATCTTCTGGGGCATGGGTGAATCCAGGTGCGATGACTCCCAGCTATAGAGCCGACCACAGCACAGGGATGCCAAGTTAGAATTGGAGAGGGGCGAAAAAGGATGGCATGAAATGGGCGATCCTCGAAGGCGGCTCTTACATTGGAGTAGTGATGACTTTCCCCTCATACTCAACGATATTTTCATAGGCGTGCTGGGTTTCTTTGGACCTGAAATGTTACAGGAAAGCCATCAGTTACTGTTACGTTCACAGCATACATGCAGAGAAGTAAATAAAAACATAAATTGCTGGAAGGTTGCAATGTAACATGACTTCATTGCTTAGAATTCCAAATGATAACACACAAGAACCCAAAACCAGAGAGAGAGAAAACAGGCTGCTCCTAAAACAGACAGGGACAACTCACATCATCTTACTTGAGGCTGGATGGCTGGAGACTGACTGCTGCTAGACTCAGAATGCATGCTTCCCTATACAGCCCCCTAACCCACAAGAAACCCCCCTGAAATTTAAAGTGACAGCCTACAATTTTAACCGAGTTTTCAGTACAGCACATTTACCACGACTGTAAAGGAAGGATTTAGGGTTAGGCTTTTAAGTCAATATTCCTTAGTTTGAATGGAGCTAGAAGAATGGCCCATGCTGTGTTGCAGTGAACTGGCTTGTGCATATGTGAACCATTGTCCTCTACTGGATGGAGTCAAAACTGCTCGACCGTGTGTAACTTTTGCTTTCATGGAAATTGTGAAATGAGTCCATGCTGCAATTTTTCCAGCAGCAGGAGCCAGTGGCTGCTCATAGAGGCCCCTCCCAGAGGGGGGTGGGGAGGTGGCAGCAAGTCCTATCACAGGAAGGGGGCGGGGGGGGGGGTGGCCTGGTGGCCAGTGTCTCGTTCATGGCCAGGGATTCTGGCCACTGCTGCTCATTCCTGTCCGGCCACCAGGGAGAGGGAAGCGGCACTGATTAGGAGCATTGGCCTAGCCCCGCAGAAGCACCCTTAGGACCAGGGGAGACACTGCAGCACCAGCTGGCAAGGAGCAGAGGCATTGTTAACACCAGCCCCCTCCCCCCCATCAACCAGACCGGAAGCAGCAATGGGAGCTTGGGATCCTGTCTGATAGTGAGGCACCACCCTCCCCCCAGCCTGCCCCTAACCCCACTATCTGGGACAGGACTGACAGCTTCCGCCTCCTCGCTGTTGGAAGAATCACAGCAGTTTGGGGAGAGGAAGAGGGGAGACTCGGCAGCCATGCACATCCCATGAAATTCAAACATTTGCCTGGGACACTACTGTGCATTAAAAATAAAAATAAAAAAATCTGTGATTTTTTTCAGGGTCATAACTATGTGTCATAGGGCCTGTACTGCTAACAGCTAATGCTCAAGTAGCAGCTTCTGGATGGTGGAACCCAGAATCAGGGCTTTCATACTAACCAGGGCAAATTCATAGTGAAAATGCCTCAGCTCGGCCTGCACTAATGTTACGCTGCTGCTGCCATCAGTTATGCCTTTTTAGTGGTGGGAATTGCCAAAATGAGTGTACTGAAGGCCCTGATCCTGCAAAGACTTATGCCCCTGCTTTATTTTATGCTTCCTTGGGACTCCTCATAGTGCGGACAGTTATGCAGGTGCATAAGCACTGCAGGATCAGGCCCTATCTTTGCTAATGTCAGCCAGCCCTAGAAAGCCTACACTGGCCAGAAACAAAAGTGAAACTGACCGGTTTCCTTATCCAAGTGGGCTGAAGAACCTGGCAGCATTAAGGGTGAACAAATCAGTGTGATTTTAAAAATCCTCCTTTGTTTTCATAAACTGTTATTAAGGACAAAGGGGAGACTCGTTCTGAGCTTTTAATGTTTGTCACCTCGCAATCTCCCTTGTTTTATGAGGGCAGATTTGGGCCCCTACACACATGTAGAGAGGAAAATGACCAGAGGAAAAATTCTTCCAGTGCAAGCGTAGGGTAGATCCAAGACTGACAAGAGCAGAGGGGAAAAGGAGGGACAATTGTACTGTGGCCCTGAGCTCAGGCCCCCCCAAATCGTTTGTAACTGGGCTGTAATAGGGGTGGTACCAGGGCCCTAAATTTTATCTCAACTGGCCTGCACAGAGCCACCATAAGCAGCCCTGCCCTGTCCCCTCCCCCCCAAGACTCAGCCTCAGAGGTGTCCTGGGGGCAGAGGGCAGGACTAGGGGCAGGTCTGGGCATGAGAGGAGGAGCTGCTTTAATTTACACTGGAGACTATTTTGGTCACCAGAGCCCCGATGCTGAATGGCCTAACGGTGATGTCAAACCATTTCTGCCCCCGTCCTGGCCTAGCACAGAATGGGATCCTCTTCGGATGAACTTGAAAGCTCTTGAATGCCTGGCTCACCTGAAATCAGCTGCTGTGATTGAATACCTCCCCTCGGTCCCGTTGGATATGACAGCCTCTTCCTTCGTGTCTCCTATGGTGACCACCGACTCCATATTTTCCCTAACAAAAGAAGCACATTTGAAAGAATTTAGATAGAACCATGGCAGGACCGTTGGCTGCATTGTATTTGTGCCTCTTTGGCTGACACACAAGTGAGCAACAGACTTTCAGCTCAAACGATTTCACACTCTGTAAAGCTCAGGTATCATTTGAACAATAACCCGAAGTTTTCATATTGCCGAGCAAGCCGTTGAGAGAGAGGAAAGGTGGGTGGGGCAATATCTGTGATTGGAACATGCTTTCGAGCTTCACAGAGCTCTTCCTCAGGTCTGGAGAAGGTAACCAGAGCATCCAAGCTAAACACAAGGTGGGACCGATCGTTAAACACAAGGGGATCATAAGTTGTTGGAGAACTCTCACACTGGACTGTCATAATGTGCCTTCTGGCCTTAACAATCTGTGCGTGAACTCTATTCATAAGGTGATCAGTGAAGTTCTTTGTCCCACCAAGTTGTTTTTTGATTTTCACAGTATTGCCAACTCTCATGATTTTTTCATGAGTCACATGATAATTATTGGCTTCCTTAAAGCCCCAGTTCCTGGAGTCAAGTGGAGATGCGATGACTTCAGCCTTTGTTCTTGGGGAAAAAAGTACTTTTCTAGCCCTCTTGGCTGTGGAAAAAGCTTACAAATATGACCCAAGTGCACCCTAAAGGTCTGCAGCGTGGGGCACGGGTCACTTGCTGGTGGATTCTCTGCACCTTGAAGTCTTTAAACCACGATTTGAGGACTTCAATAGCTCAGACATAGGTCAGGGGTTTGTTACAGGAGTGGGTGGATGAGATTCTGTGGCCTGCGTTGTGCAGGAGGTCAGACTAGAAAATCATAATGGTCCCTTCTGACCTTAAAGTCTATGAGTCTAAAAAGCAGAAGGCAAATAGAAAGAACACCAAATCTATTATTTTTACATCACTTCCTGATTAAGCCAATTTCATGATTTTTGAGGAGCCAGACTTGTGATTTTTGAACATTTGGGGTTCCTTTCGTGCTCCCCTAACAAGCAAACGAGTGAACCTCAAAAGGACCTGAGAGGCGGTTGGCTTAATATACACACACCAGACTATGACTGCTTGTCCAAGCTTCTAATAATAATCATCAGTTGCAGAGGGCCTTTCACCCACAGATCTCAAAGCACTTTACAAAGGAGGTCAGGATCCTTCTCTCTGTCATAGACAAGGGGACAACTGTGGCAGAGAAAGAGGCAAGGTGAGGACTAGAAGCCATATCTCCTGAGTGCTATGCTAAGGTATTAGCCCTCCTTGCCACCATCAGGCAACATGGCCCAGGGGACAGTGTTCTGGATTGGGAGTCAGGAACATCAGCTGGTGTGAACCGATAGCCCCCTGAAGTCAGCGGAGCTCTGATCAGATACACCAGCTGAGACGCCACCCCTGGGCTCTATTCCCAACCCTGAAAGCACTTCACAAACAGTAACTTCTCAGCACCCCTGGGACCTCATCCTTCTTTTCCAGAGGGGGAAACTGAGGCACCGAGCATCACTAAGGCCCAGATCCTCAAAGGTACTTCAGCATCTAACTCGTGACCTTGGCCTGTGTAATTTGCCCCAAAGCACAGAGAGAGTCTGTGATACAGCCAGGAACCGGTCAGCTAAACCAGGGTGAAGATTTCAGGATGAGAGGTTTTCTCACAAGTTGTTTAGTACTTTGTATTTCTCGTCAGGCTGGGACAATAACACCAGGATTGCCTCTCTCATGACATTTCACTTCTTCCTCTGCCAGCTGCAACCCAGAATTGCAAAGATGCTGGAGAATAAAGTGGTTTGATGTGGGAGTCATGATCCCAGATGGCTGCTGGGGATCTCGACAGAGGTAAGTAGAGAATTCTTTCTTCCGGCTTCAAAACTATTCCACAGCAGCTACTTGAGGCAGGGGCATGGAACAGGGGAGGCGAGAGGGCTATGGCCCTCCCACTTTTTACCGGCCATAAAGGCAAGCGATGGGAGGAGGAAGGCAGAGAAGAACGAGCAGGGGCGGGATCTTGGGGGAAGGGGCAGCATGGGGGCGGGGCTTCAGGGGGAAGGGGCAGTGCTTGGGATGGGGACACAGTTTGGGCACCAGTGGCCCCCCCCACTTTTAGGAAGCTTCTGCCGCCCCTGACTCTAGTCACCCTGCGTGACCCTCAAATCCTTCCTAGGGTTAGATGGTTCTTCACCAGCCCCTCGCCTCACGCCCCAGTCCCACTGCCATTCACCCATGCTGTATCCAGCTCAGTTCCTGGGAACTTACACATTCAGCTCTCCTTTGCAGATCAGAGGACTGACCACTGGCTGGTCATTGATCCTCCAGGAAGTGCTGCAGCAGCTGCCACCAGCGAGCATTATGGGACAAGTGATCTTACCCTTGAAGGCACCAGGCTACTTGCTGCAGAGGTGGAGGTGGGACAGTTGGGACGAGAGAGAAGAGAGGGCTCAGGAGGTAGTTTCATGGCCTATCTTTACAAAAGAGAACAAGGAGGACCTGGGGAATTAAAGACCAATCAGCCTCATTTCAATACCTGGTTTGTAAGCACCTGGAGGATAACAGGGTTATAAGGAATAGTCAACACGGATTTGTCAAGAACAAATCATGCCAAACCAACTGAATTTCCTTCTTAGATAGGGTTACTGACCTAATGGACGGGGGGGAGCAATAGATGTGATATACCTTGATTTTAGCATGGCTTTTGACACAGTTCGGCAAGACATTCTCATAAGCAAACTAGGGAAATGTGATCTAGATGAAATTACTAGAAGGTGGGTGCACAACTGGTTGAAAGGCCGTACTCAGAGAGTAGTTATCAATGGTTTGCTGTCAAATTGGGAGGGCGGATCTAGTCGGCCTGTGGGGGTCCAATACTAATCAATATTTTCATTAATGACGTGGATAATGGAGTGGAGAGAATGCTTCTAAAATGTGCAGATGATGCCAAGCTGGGAGGGGTTGGAAGCACTTTGGAGGACAGGTTTAAAATTCAAAATGACCTTGAAAAATTGGAGAATCGGTCTGAATTCAACAAGTTGAAATTCAGTAAAGACAAGTGCAAAGAACTTCACCCAGGAAGGAAAAATCAAGTGCACAACTACAAAATGGGGAATAACTGGCTAGGTGGCAGTGCTGCTGAAAAGGATCTGGGGGTTACAGTGGGTCATAAATTCAACGTGATCCGACAATGGGATGCAGCTGCAAAAAAGGCGAATATGATTCTGGGATGTGTTAACAGGAGTGTCGTACATAAGACACAGGAGGTCATTGTCCTGCTCTACTCAGCACTGGTGAGGCCCCAGCTGGAGTATTGTGTCCAATTCTTGGCACCACGCTTTAGAAAACATGTGCACAAACTGGATCGAGTCCAGAGGAGAGCAACAGAAATGATCAAAGGTTTAAATAACCTGACCTATGCGGAAAGGTTAAAAAAACTGGGCCTGTTTAGTTTTGAGAAAAGATTTGGGGGAATGGGGGACCTGATAACAGTCATGCAATATGTTACAGGCTGTTATAAAAAGGACGGTGATCAATTGTTCTCCATGTCCACTGAAGGCAGGGCAAGAAGTAATGGGCTTAATCAGCAGCAAGGGAGATTTAGGTTAGATCTTGGGGGAAACTCTCTAACTCTAAGGGTAGTTAAGCTTGGGAACAGGCTTCCAAGGGAGGTTGTGGAGTCCCCATCATTGGAAGTTTTTAAAAAGATATTGGCCAAACACCTGTCACAGATGGTCTGGATTTACTGGGTCCTGCCAGAGCGCAGGGGGCTGGACTTGCTAACTTCTCGAGGTCCCTTCCAGCCCTACACGTCTATGACACCATGGCTGATAGACCAGCGATTGATCCAGCGACCTCCAGAGCTAATAAGCACGTGCTCCTACAGCTCGACCTTACTAGGGTGGTAACAGACTCATCGCCTCTGCGGACTGGGTACAGAGGAGGATCTGTAACATACACTTACCAGTAGGTTATACGCTTACTGAATTGTTCACGCGCTTTGTCTATTTTCTGCAGCCAGAATGTTAATAACTACAGCTCAAGAAGTCCCTACTCAGGGACTTTGCCTGAATATAATCACTAAGGGTTGCAGGATTTTGTCCTGTGGGATTTCTGGTGAGTCAGTCATTCTTTAACTGCTCCTTCTGCCTAGGTAGCAAATCCGATATCCCTGCAGTTGGCCCTCCCTGCTGCACAGTGACATCAGTGCCAGGTTTGCAGCATTGGGTGAGACTAATTTGTCAGACCTTTGAATTGTTTTCTGCTGCTAACTGGTTTTTCCAGTCGGTCTCTGAATGGGCTGTTGCAAAATACTTTGCAATGTATTTTTATTTCAACAGTAGAAGAGACTCTGCCTCAGCTGGTGTCTTGGAGTCTGTGTCTGAGAAGGTGTGTGTGTGTGTGTGTGTGTGTCCGTCCATGTCCCAAGCTGATAGTGTCTTGGAGTCTGCGTCTGAGAAGGTGTGTGTGTGTGTGTCCCAAGCTGATGGTGTCTTGGAATCTACATCTGAGAAGGTGTGTTTGTGTCCATGTCCCAAGCTGATGGTATCTTGGAGTCTGCGTCTGAGAAGGTGTGTGTGTGTGTGTGTGTGTGTGTGTGTGTGTGTGTGTGTGTGTGTGTGTGTGTGTGTGTGTGTGTCCCAAGCTGATGGTGTCTTGGAGTCTGCATCTGAGAAGGTGTGTTTGTGTGTGTGTGTCAGTGTCCCAAGCTGATGGTGGCAATTGGACGGGCTGTTCTTGGTCAGCTTATCATACAGGTAGACTTGAGCCAAAGACGTTCAGACCTGGAGCCAGATTCAGCACTGTGTCCTCCCCCAAGGCTCAGGGAGGTTTGGATCTACTGTGCTGGTTCCGGTCCGTTATACGTGCATGTCTCCGATTCCCTTCAGTGCTCGCTGGCGGGTGATGTCTGGGGCTTGCAAAGAAATGTCAAGGCAGAAACAGGCAGGGATTAAGCTGATAACTGCTGCCACAGTGACAGAACCGGGGCTGGAATGCTGCCAGGTTGCTAAGCTTCAACAGCGTCTTTTCTGATGAGAGGCCAAAGTAAAATAAAATGGGCTTCTAGCCTTCCCAACCTTCCTCCCAGCCGGATTCTAGCACTAGACAGGACAACGAGGAGCAATGTTTGAGCCAGAGATACCACCACGCTCCGAGGAAGAGGGGGTCAGATGTGACATGAGCAGTGCTGGCTCCACCACCAAACAGCTGTGCAGCTGGGCCACTTTCCTGACTCTTAGGGTATGTCTACACTACCGGCCGGATCAGTGGGCAGCGATCGAGCCAGGAGGGATCGATTTATCGTGTCTAGTCTAGACATGATAAATCGATCCCCGAGTGCTCTCCCGTCGACTCCTGTATCCAGCTCGGCGAGAGGCGCAGGCGGAGTTGACGGGGGAGCGGCAGCAGTCGACTCACCGCGGTGAAGACACCACAGTAAGTCGATCTAAGTACGTCAACTTCAGCTACGTTATTCACATAGCTGAAGTGGCGTAACTTAGATCAATTCCCTCCACCCCACTCCCAGTGTAGACCAGAGCTTACTAGACACCTTAGCTCAAGGGTAGCCCCTGTTCTGTGTTAAGGAAAGGAGAGCATGCCCAGAAGCTAGGTGGGTATGGGACCTAATCCTTGGCTATCCTAAGACCCGTTTATGCCACTCTGGCAGTGTAAAGGGGATGTAAAGTGCCAGAAATGGCCCCTTGAAAATGCCCCTGCGGGGTAGGGAGTGGATCAGGGATGTGGCCAGGTCACACTGTGCAACAGCTATTTTCTGCCTCTCAGGGCCCATGGGGGCACAGGAAAGCAGAGTCGAAGTTAGAGCAGCCCTGAGGCAGCTCTAGCTTACACTGGAGCTGGACAGACCCCTGCAGGATCCCAACGGTGGTTTAAAGCCAGAGACCTTAATCCCCTCTTTCATAGACTCAGACTTCAAGGTCAAAAGGGACCATCGTGATCATCTAGTCTGACCTCCTGCACGTCACAGGCCACGAAACCACACCCACCCACTCCTGTAATAGACCCCTACCCTCCGGCTAAGTTAGTGAACTCCTCAACTCATGATTTAAAGGCCACAAGTTACAGAGACTCCACCATGTATTCTAATTCACCCAGCAAGTGACCCAGGCCCCATGTTTCAGAGCATGGCGAAACCTCCCAGGTATCTTTCAACTCTGCCCCAAATACAGAAACGAAGTAACTGAGAACCAGGCCCACATTATCTACTGTATTTATCTCTTCATTCAACTTTTCTCCTTCTTCTTCTCTGCCCCTTTTCTACCCCTCTCTGTTTAGCTTTCACTCACCCCGCTCGCTCTCTCTGCTCCCCATTTCACCATAGGTTTTCATTGGAATTTTTCTCTCTACTTCATTTCTCCCCTCCCCCCAGCGTCACGAGCCCAGGACGGTCCTGGCTTGAGTCAAACTTTCAACCCTGGAAACCTTGGGTTTGACATGAGGCCAAGCAAGTTAACCCACCTCGAGGGTGGTGACCTCAGCAGCATTGCACAACCTGTCTATCTGGGGTCTGTGTTTAACACGTTAAATCTTAATATATTAAACCATCCATCAGAAGTACATATATGGCCTCCACCAACGTATTATCTGAGCAACTACCGGTCTTTAATGTCTTCATCCTCACAACACCCCTGGGAGGTAGGGAAGGGCAAGTCTCCCTACTGCAGTGATGGGTTCATGGCCAGCTAGAAGGTGCTTGGGGCGGCTACTCCGGAGAGGGGCGGCAGGTCCAGCTATTCGGCGGCAATTCGGCAGACAGTCCCTCACTCCCGCTCGGAGCGAAGGACATTCCGCCGAATTGCCGCCGCAGATCGCGATGGCGGCTTTTTTTTTTTTTTTTGGCTGCTTGGGGCAGCCAAAACCCTGAAGCTGGCCCTGCCAGGGAGACAAGCCCTGAGGCCCAGATCTCAAAGGTAGTTGGGTATTTAACTCCCACTGAAATCAATGGGAGTTAGGCGTGTAAATACGTTGAGGATCTGGGCCTAACTGACTTGCCCAAGGCCACACAGGAAGTCTGTAGCAGAGCAGAGACTTCAACCCAGACCTCTCAAGTCTTACTGACCATCCTTCCTTTCTGGCCAGATCCCCAAAGTATGTCAATGATCATAACATCACTGATGTCCATGGGCCAGATTTTCAGCAGCTATAATTTTTGGTACCACTGTTTTAAGTCAATCAAACATGGCCCTCTGAGACATCTGGTTAGTCAGTCGTCCTTTTAACTGCCCTGTATCCCTTGGTGGCACCATGTAAGTGGTGAAACATGCGTCATTTCAGCGGACCTTCCCTGATACCAAGAACAGCTGGGCCAAGGCAGCAGCGTCTGTTCTAAATGCCACCCGACTGAAGGGACGGGAGCGATGAACATTTCAATCAGCTCAGGGTCTGGCACTTCAGCTCTTTCGCTTCCTGAGTTTGGAGCTTTAACGTCTCGGTAACAAGGCTTTGGGATTTTAAGGGGCATTTCTGGATTCTGGACGGGACAGGAAGTGAAACTGCCACCACAAGGCTATGGAGTGACACGGTATGACCATCGCCTTGTGCAGTGTTGCCCACGGTCCCTGTAAACTGATACTATTAAGAGGATCAGGAAAGATTCCCTGTTTTTTGTGCAGGGATCACATTGTGCCCCACGCGGATAAAACTCAAAACGCCCTGCGTTTGGAGCTGCTCTAGCGACAGTGAAGCCCCAGTCAAATGGAACGAGGAAAACCCACACTTACTCTTTTTCTTGACACCAATACTTATTGACTGCAAAAGCGATTGCCACCAGGGCTAGGAAGACGGCCACTGCAATAAGCCCCTGCATCCATGGCTGGAGATTTCCCCGGGCTGCGGAGAAAGGGGGGAGACAGACGTTAGAGATATTTTTCGCTTCACCTGTTCTGTTTAGGTTCTTAAACTGCCTCCATTAATACAGACTCTCAGGGCTCCATCCTGCTGATCTTTCTGGTCCCAAGCCAGCCACGCACTAAACCCATGCTGGAATTTAAGCACCTAAGAAAGCCCACTGAAGTCCCTGTAAGCACAAGTTTAAGTACCTTGCAGGACTGAGTCAGCAATTGTGATTGACAGCGTGGGGTAGAGCTGGGGAAATGAACCCAGAGCTCTTGAGTCATAAGCTGGGTCTTGACCTCAAGGCCATCCTACTTTAGTAAGGATACGGAGGGGCTGGTTGGTCGGTGGTCTGAGCCTTGCAGATCCCAACCGGCAAAGAAACCAGATTAAAAATCCACACACACCCCCACAGCCCATCCATCCCCCACCACATCAATACCATCCCATGTCTCATGCAGACTAATGGGGACAGGACGGTCTTTAGCGTTGCACTGTGGGATGGACTTTGGCACTGACCACAGTGTTCCAAAGTAGAAGCCCCTTCCTTTGTCCTCGACAGTTGTCCCAGGGGCCAACCCTTCCCTCGTTTCCACTGGAGAGGGACCCAAACCAAAGCCTTGAGTCCAAATGCCCTCCAGTGTTGGGTAGTTAAAACTCTGGATCTAAGTTTTGCATCTCAGACCCATTTCTAATGTTCTATTTCCCCGTGTACAACTAAAATAAGCTCCACGTATTTGGGAAAAGGACAGTCTTTTCATTATACATTTGTACAGCACCTAGCGCAGAGGTCCCGTGCCCGGGTTAGGGCCTTTAGACATAACCACAGTACAAATAAATAATAGTAGCAATATAGTCCTCATTCAAAATGCCATTTGTTTCAGAGAGAGGAAAACAAGAAAAAAACCGAATATAAAGTCTCCCTGAGAAACAGAGAGAGACAGAGAGAGCACAGGTTGGCTAACTCGGTAACATTCTGCATCTGATGGGAAAAACAAATTGGCAGCTGCCTCACAGCTGCTCCCTGCCTCAGTGGTTCAGGATGCAGCACACACTAAAAACATAACAACATCTCCTTTCAGTTAGGCATCAGTGTACACCACATCTTGTTTCCTTCATATTGTGCCATTACTGCAGATTCAAGATACACTGCAGGTCACATTGTCTATTCTGTTTCTACTTCACATACTGTGCTCCCCCAACCCCACCACCAGAGTACTTGAGCAGCACCCTCACCCACCTTGAGAGGAAGGGTGGCCCAGTGACGAGGTGCTAACCTAAGACTTGTCAGACGTGTGTTTACGCCCTTGTTCTGCTGCTGGCTTCCTATGCAACCTTGGGAAAGTCCCTTACAGTTGGGTTTTTAAAGGTGCCTAAATGCCTTTAAAAATCAGCCCCTTTTTGTTCTGTGCCTGAGTTCCTCATCTGTAAAATGGGGATAACATCACAGCCCTGCCTCATAGTGGTGCTGTGTGAATAAACACGTTGAAGAGTTTGAGGTGGTCAGAAGCTGTCATAATGGGAACCATCTAAGTCCCTTTGATAGATGGCTTACCTGATGTAGCTACAATGATCTCCATTTTACAGATGGAGAAAAGAACCATAGAGAGTCTAAGTGACTTGCCCAAGGCCACAAAGGAAGCCAGTACCAGAGGTATACAGAGCAAGGTACCGAACCCATGTCTCCAGAGTAGCACCTTAACTACTGGACCGTTCCACCTCTCTGCTATTAGGGTCAGAGCAATCCCACAGAGCTATTAGACAAAAACATAACTACTCTTGCTGAAAGGTTGCAACGTAACATGACCTTATTTCTCAGAACTCAAGATAACACACAAGAACCCAAAACCAGAGAGAGAAAAAACAGGCTGCTTCCTAAGGCAGCCAGGTACAGGTCACCCTACTTTGCTTTAAGATGGCTTTTTCCAGACTGGCTCGGAGAACACACTTCCCTACAGGGCCCTCTAGCTTGCGAACAGGCAGTGGTGTCCCTAGCCTCTGCTTGCCAGAAGCTGGGAGTGAGCGCCAGGGGATGGATAACTTGCTGATTACCTGTTCTGTTCATTCCCTCTGGGGCACCTGGCACTGGCCACTGTCAGAAGACAGGATACTGGGCTAGATGGACCCTGGGTCTGACCCAGTAGGGCCATTTTTATGTTCTTATAAACATGAGCAGAACCCCTTTCCCCCTTAAGGTGATAACTTGCAAGTCCAACACAGTCCTCAATACACTATATCTACGGGGCTTTTTCAGAATCAATGTGTAGTCGGCAGGATGGTCTCTCTGGCTGTTGTGTGGATGTGCAGGGAAGGTGGTGCAGAGACCACCCTGTGCAGGGACTAGGGACAATCCAAGTCCCTGGATTTGGGGGAATGCAGGGACTGTACCCTCCATATTTTCCCAAGGATGCACCTCGCCCCAATAGGATGGTGCGGTCTGTGTACCATTCCTATGCACTGAGGTGCTCCTTGATGGCCAATCGCTTGCTGAGCTGCCCTTGGGGAAAATGTGACTCCACATTGCCCACTAAACAAGGCTGTGACTAAACCTGCTCTGTACCTGCACCTTTATTTTCGCAAGCCCACGCTGCTCCACTCAGCCCCTCTTTCCCGAAACGAAAGCCTCCAACCGCCCGCTCACGCTGAGGAGTGCCATGTTTTCCTGACTCCGTAATCCATCACTAATGATTATGATGTTGCAAAGCGGATTATGGTGGGTCCATTAGCATAACAAACCTGGCGAAGGAGGTGCCAGCATGTTCGGCGTGACACTCCGCTAGTTGGCGGCTGCTCATTTGGAGTGTGATCACCTTCCAAGTTTTGGGGGAGGGACGGGGCTGGAGAGGGGCCAGTCGGCAGCAGAGGGAACCAGTTGCAAGCTGGGGCGATGCATTCAGGAGAATGCAGGGAAACAACAAAGACGACAACTCGATAAGTCAGAACAAAAGCGGATGTGGTTCTAATTCTCCCCGCTCCTTTGCCAAGCCGCACAGAGTTTTCCCGAGTCTGCTAAGCCGTAGCGCTACTCTGGGGTGGGGAGCAGGGGAAGGGAGCATTAAAGGCTTCCATGTTAATAGCAAGGATGAACTTGGGGTTAAGTCTGGGGACTCAGGAGATCAGGCTTTAGTTCCTAGCTCTGCAACAGACTCCCTGTGTGTGTCACTTAAGCCTAGATGCTCCAAGTATTCCGGTGCCTAAATCCTATTGAAATCAATGGGGAGTTAGGTAGTAAGAACAGCCTGAGGGCAGGAGATGATGAAGAAGGCAGTGTCTAGATGGGACTCCAGGAGGAATGTAAGAAGGCAGAGGGCAATCCCCCAATGGAGTTTGGCTGGGACAGTCTGAAAAGATTAGACCCCCGGGGCCCACTCATGGTCCCCCTGAAGCCAATGGCAAAACTCCCACTGATTCCAATGGAGCCCAGCTCGGGACCTCCTTGCATCCGTCGGGGCTGAATTAGCACCCTGCGACATCAGTGGAAAGATTCCCTTGGACTGGAATGAGAATGGATTGCGCTAAATACGACTCAACAGTGTAACACTGCTGCAAAAAAAAAAGCAATCATTCTGGGATGTATTAGCAGGAGTGTTGTAAGCAAGACACGAGAAGTCATTCTTCCGCTCTACTCCGCTCTGATTAGGCCTCAGCTGAAGTATTGTGTCCAGTTCTGGGTGCCACATTTCAGGAAAGATGGGGACAAATTGGAGAAAGTCCAGAGAAGAGCAACAAACATGATTAAAAGTCTAGAAAACAGGACCTAGGAGGGAAGATTGAAAAAATTGGGTTTGTTTATAGTCTGGAGAAGAGAAGACTGAGAGGGGACATGATAACAGTCTTCAAGTACATAAAAGGTTGTTACAAGGAGGAGGGAGAAGAATTGTTCTCCTTAACCTCTGAGGATAGGACAAGAAGCAATGGGTTTAAATTCGAGCAAGGGCGGTTTAGGTTGGATATTAGGGAAAACTTCCTGTCAGGGTGGTTGAGCACTGGAATAAATTGCCTAGGGAGGTGGTGGAATCTCCATTATTGGAGATTTTTAAGAGCAGGTTAGACAAACACCTGACAGGGATGGTCTAGATAATACTTAGTCCTGCCATGAGTGCAGGGGACTGGACTAGATGACCTCTCGAGGTCCCTTCCAGTCCTATGATTCTATGAAGGAAAGTGACTGTTTTTAAGCATTGGGAAGCAAACTAAAAATGGCTTCACTCCCGGGAGGAAAGAAGTTTATGTAAAAGGGAAAGACGCAAAGAATGCTGACGGATGGGTCCTGGCCCGGATGAACTTTAACAATGTTTTTCTAGAACTGGGCTGGCTGGTAAAATGTTTACCTTAGATTAGCAGCACAGCCTACGTTTCAACAATGGTCCCTAAAGGGCTCTCTCAGACAATGGTCTCTCTGTTTCTTTTCTAGTCCAGTTCAATAATCAGCGCCTAGGTAGGGACACCGTAAAGTGAGGTCAGCAGTCGCATTAATAACTCCTGTTGACATGTATTTGGGCGAGGAGGCTGGGAACGTCCCTTGGGGGGCTGGGGGGGGGACAGACGACTCTCAGGCTAATCAAGATCCCAGATGATCAGGACTTTGTCTTTCAACAGGAAATTGAAAGGGAAGCTGGTTAGAACAACAGTAAAATCCTACCCTACCTAGCATATAGGCAATGGGCCAAATTCAGGAGTGAAGTGCCTGGCGGTGGTAAGTTACACGTCAGGTGTCAATGGGTATTTACTGGCATCCAACAAGTGCATATAATGAGTGTAACTGATGCCAAATAAATCAAACTGTGGGGCTAGGGTGACCAGACAGCAAATGTGAAAAATCAGGACGGGGGTGGGGAGTAATAAGAGCCTATATAAGAAAAAGGCCCAAAAATCGGGACTGTCCCTATAAAATCGGGACATCTGGTCACCCTATGTGGGGCGTGCCACACAACTACCATCAAACAACTACCATTTGCCTGCCCTTGGTAGCACTCAGCCAAGGGCCCCAGCTGCAA